CAATGTGCATTGCAAATATTTCTTAATAAAAAATTAAAAAGAAAAAAAAATACTCAAGATGCTTCATTGAATAAGAAAGATGCTTTGGATCTTTGCTTATATGCTCCTTATCCTTGTCATGTTCCAATCAAATTGGATCCCAATCCCATACATTTCTCACACACCAGATTGGGTTGCCATCACTCACTATTGGATGCATGAATTTAATTATTTTTGTCCTAATCTTTTTCATTGCCATGAGTCACCCAAAATGTCCTTCTCAATATGACTTTTTGTTTGTGGGGTTGGTTCAGAAAAATAAATGCCTTTTAGCCGCCCAATTAGAATTCAAAGTTCAACCCCTTTTTATAAAAAATTCATGTCAAGACAATTATCTTCCGCAAGCTGAACAGATTATTTGTAGACAAGCAGCCACTTAAATTGGAGTTTTATAATAATTTGGAAGAATTGAAAGTTTGGGTCGGCCTCAAGATGTTGAGTATAAGAAAATGAAGGGAAATCTACAGAGGAAACAAGTGTTCGATGCACCAAGAAACAACAACCACAAGGATACATCTAGGGAGGATGAGCAGTAGTAATCAATTGTTGACTTACTTTGTTTAATTTCTTTCATTTATTGGAGTTGTTTCTATTTGGTTGCTGAGGTTAATGAAGTTGGGCTAATATGGTTTGGTAAATTTTTTAATTTCTTTATTAAGTTTGTGTTTGTTGTATACAAAAATTAATGTAGAAAGGCTTTAAGAATTTTTTTTTATTTTTATTAGGTTAAATTATATAATTAGTCTTTAGATTTTATTAAATTGAGTTCTTTTATTTTTCTAATCTATAATTTCTGTCTAAATTTTAACATTATAAAATTTCCACTATTAAATATATTGATTTAAATAAAAAAAGTATGTTGATTTAATCTTTTAATCTATTGATTAAGATATGTAATATTTTTTTATTGATGTGATTTTAATTATGTGATGACATGACATTAATTGGATTGATAATAGGTTTATGTTGACGTGACATTTGTTAACTTAAAATGATCATATGACAATTGTTGACATAACTATCAATGGACAAAACACTCCAAATTTTAACTTAACAAAATCAATAAAGAAATTCATACACGGTATGATTGTCTTATTAATTCAAAATTTTTGTATGAAAATCGTGTGTATAAATAATATATATTTATCTATAATAAATGTTTCAAAAGTGTGAAACATATCTTCAATTTTTCTCTTCGTTCCACTCGAAAGAGAACAACTACGTGCCCAAACGTGGAGTCTTTTTGACCTCCATTTTATATAAATATAGGTAATAGATTAAGAAGGCTTAAACTTTAGATTTTTGGACCATTTTGGTGTGTTATGTTTCCAAGAAGACATAGGCCTTGTGATGCACAAGTTGGGCATAAAGTTTCAATTGGACTGGCATTTGAATTTCAGTTTTTATGGACGGATGGTCCAGTTTGGCTTTGCTAAAGTGGGCTTACACTTACAATTTGTGTGTTTATTTAAAATATTTTTAAAAAAGTATTCTAATTACGACAAAATTGAGTAAAATATGAGAATAATTTTGTGGGGAAAAATTGAAAAAGGAAGGAAAGAGAATGATATAGACATGTGAAAGCCCATTGAAACTTAAAATTTTAATTAAAAGTCTCTTAAATTCCTATTTGTTAAAGCATTTTATGAAACATAATTCAATTAATAAAAAATTATGACATTTTCTTTTTAATTAAAGTTAAAATCTCTTCCTCTCATGGTATATATGCACTGCTTTATTTTCATTTTACTAATTATATCTTAAATGATTGCACTTATGTTTTATGTAAAGACAACCAAAGATTACAAACAACTTACACATGGAGAAGTAAACAAGCAAACCAAACACTAGAAATTTATTAACTTTAACACAAGCCATGAGAAAAACTACATTAAAAATGAAAAAAGGCACTCCATAACTCTTTTAACTAATACAACTAACCATGGTCAACACACAAAGATACCTTATTTCTCATTACCATTTGCATTTATACATGTTGACTAATTTTTAGGTTTCTTGATCCTCTCATTCATCTCTTCATTTTCGGTTGATCTTTGCTCGTTGTTCATATCAGAAGGTCGCGGATGAAAACGAAACCAATTAATTTGTTCGTTTTCGATAAACGTTAGGCTAATTTTTTTTGTTGCCTCTTTGCGATGAAAATTCCTATGACAACCGCAAGCTTCGCAGTCGAGATCGCCATTTCTTGTCTCCGACATCCTTCCTTTGGGAGTAAATTCACCGCAACCATCGACAACGTTGACACCGAGTTGAGGTGCATGGTTACGCATGCAATCTTTGTATTTGATGTTGATTGTTTTCGTTTTCCTCTCTATGATCTCAAAGGGAGGCTTACAGGGCTTTCGTTCTAAGAAATTGTTAGCCATGAAAAGAGGGAAAAGGTGGTGGAAAAAGAGAGAGTAGAGAGAGAAACAAAGGGTAAGTTTTGGTTGCCTTTGTCTAAATGTTTAGGCAAGCGTTTTGCTTTATAGTTGTAAGCTTCTACCTGCCTCATTGTCTCTATTCGTTGCATGGCTGACACAGAAGACAAGTGTGGTGATTAAGCGTTAAGGTGAGAGTGAGCGTTAGAAAATGCATCTGTCTCAAAAGTTTAAAGATTCCTTTTACCTTCCATGGAGTAATTTTTTTCCAAAAATTTTGAGAATTTATTTCTGTTACTATTTTATAAGCATTCAATGTTTTGCATATCAACTTTCCGTTTTCTATTTAAGAGAAGAAAGAAAAAAAATTCTTAATTCGTGTGTCGCTTTAATCATATCATGTAAATATAATTTATTAAATTTTATATATAAATATAAATACAGTACAATTAATTAAATGTGTGAATAAATATGAATATGATACCTTCTTTTAAACTACTTATAGCAAATTAATATCTCAGAACAATAGAAAATTTTATAAATAATAATAATAGAAAAAAAATACCATGCAAAATGTTTTACACATATATAAGATCGCCCTCATCATGCTGTTCTGATGGCTTGATTTTGGATCAGGTAGAGGAGCATTATGGATCTCAGGGATTGGGAATTGTGGGCTATTTCCATGCAAAAGAGAGGTTTGATGATGTAGAGATAGGCATTGTGGCAAAGATATTGGTGATCATATTGCCGGTACTTTCCCCAAGCTGCTCTTCTCTTGTTAGATAACAAAAAGCTGGAAGCTTTGTCCAAGGGGAAAGACCAGAGTCCTGTGATGCAGCTATATATAAGCATGCATCCAAGAAATGGAAACCGGTTGGACCGGATGGAGGCAGCCGATTGGTAATTAAGGAGCCTGCTGCAAATGTTATTTTGTTGGGTTTTATTTCATCTGAAAAATGGCAGGATGTTGCAGATTTTGACGATCACCATGAGGACATTAAGAAGGACTGGCTTAATCCAGATCTCTTCAAGTAAGATTCTTCATTGGTCGGTCGAAGGTATTGGTTGATGCAGACACTTGTCCTGGAGACCACGAAGTAGACAATGAATTGGATGAACCATGGGCTTACGGATATTTTACTCGCCAGGAGATTTTGCTGTGATGTATTCGCCTGATTTGTTACAAGTTCAACCATCAACATTTCTTTAGTGGAAAGACATGTGTTTTGAGATCCATTGTTTTAGAACTTGTAAGTGCAAATGCAATGCCATTCTGCTTCGAATATATATATTCTTTCTCAAACCTTTTCTCCATTACCTCCTTCTAAAAAACAATTATGTAAAATCATGTAACCTTACTCTCATATATATAGTGACAGAGTCAAAGTAGTGACAGTTTCAATTTATTTTTATTTTTGTATGTATAAAATGTAAAATATGTAAATTCATATTTTTTATATTACTCGTTAATTATTTGTCATGTAAAATGCTGAACCCCCAATATATACATCAAAATAAAAAACTTGATGCAAATTAAAATGGTGGGTTGCCACCATATTTATCAAAATCAAAACGAAAGATTTAACGTGAGTACAAGAGGTGCAAATACAAATTCTGTTAACACTTGCAGCTAACTCCATGTTTTATATTTGCAAGAAAAAGAAAAAAAAGAAGCTCTCTCTTGTTCCATACCTCAATTAAATCTTTCAAACGAAGGATTGGCTATAAGTATCATCCACAGAGCTTAAATGACAAATTTTATTGTTGCCATTGCCATGCTTCTTCTTACTTCCACCACAGGTAATCGAAATTTCACATCCAAAAGCATTCCCAAAACATGAGAACAGCTTTGAATTGTCACCCTTATTCCTCCTCGAGCTCCTTGCTTTGCTCGATTTCGCTTTCTGGTTGCTGGCGGAGGCCGGTTGCGACATCTCCGAACGCCACTTCTCTAGCTTCTTGTCTAGGCTTTCTTCTCTCTTCCTGGTCCATTCCCTTATTAGTCTCGTCTCTTTTGTTTGAGCCTGATGTTGAATTGGTGGTTTGTACAAACCTTTAGCGATGGCTGCAGCTACAATCGAAGCTGAAGGCCCCACGTCCGAGCTACAAATAGAGCTACCGTTGACCATGCTACCACAGCCTTTAACCTCGGAACCTGAACCATCATTAACAATCGAACCCATTTGTGGCCTTTTCTCGAAGTTATCTTCCATTGTAGAATCGGTTACGTCGCTCTGTGAGCGGCTCATCTTAGCGTTTGGAATTGACTTGTGACTTTCTAGCTCATTATTATTCTCGATACTCTCCTCGTTTTTTCTGGTTGTTTTTGGATTAGGGTCTCCTAGCTCAGGCACGCTAGGCGTGGTACTATCAAGAAGAATAACATCCATGTTGAGAATCCCTTGGGGACGGCCGGAGGGACGGCGGATTTGAAGCGTGACGGTTCTCGTGGCGGAGTAGTTGATCTTGGCGTCTGCTACGGACCGCAATTGGAAAATATCCTTGATGAGGACGTTAACGTATCCAATGAGGACATCTTTAACCCATGCAGCCGCGTAAATCTCCACAACAATTGCGGCATCCTCCGAGTTAAGAAACTTGCCATCGACTCGGAACATTAACTTTTCATTCCAGGTTGGATCGGTTCTGCCCGTTTGGTCTATCCCGGTGGCGAGCTTGTGGTCCGGCTGGACCCAAGCAACCGCGTAGGTCTTCATGCTTTTAGAGACAGGGGCTAGGTCTTCAGCCGAAATGAGGTTGATCTCTAGAGTCCTGGAATGAAGAGTAGGAGGAGGGGCCATATCGTAATTGGTGGAGACTCCGTGGACGATTAGGGTGGAGACACCTCTATCCGGCCACGAGACTTGCCGACGACAATCCACGGAAGATGCATGTGCAAAGCAAAAACTCAAGGGAGGGGAAATAAATATGGGGAGGAGGCTTTGGGGCGACATGGTAGGAAAGGTAGTTAGGTGCCATGGTTTTTAGACCATGACTTTTTTCTAACAGGTTTGTTAAGGTTTGTTTTCCTATGACTCTGACTCTAAAATTTCTATTTAAATCCCATAATTCTCACCACTTTATTCAAGCTTAAATTACTTAACAGCTCACAGTTCTTCGCAATTTTAAGTACAACAAACTATAACGAGGGTTTTTGATTAGTACTCAAAATTCAACCATTTCATCAACTTGTCAAGGTTTTTGTAACTTGTAACGGTAAATAATTCAAACAGCCATGTGCAGTCATGGATGAGTATGGAAGAACTTAAAGTCTGGGCCGTGTTTCAGTCAGACAAAAAAATACTTAAGTGGCCAGTAGCATGTATGTGTCATTATATAAAAAATCCACAATCACTTTGCAACTCAGGGCTGCCCCAGATTTTGAAGGAAATAGTAATGAGATATAGAATGCAAAACTCTCATCAATCATTTGTCAAGTTGAAAGGTTTTGCTTAACAAATATCAGATGGTTAGAAACCAGAACTAGCCAATATTCCCAATGATTAACATTTTATGTGTTGCTCTGATTAAACTGATTTTTGTACTAGAACTTCAATCTTTCCTTTGTATTTTCTTGTATGTAATATTAGTGTAGGTCATCCTCTTGGTGCAGAAGCAAGCCAGGTTGTGGCTTGAGCCAGAGTCGAATGCAGTTGACAGGGCTGAAAGTTTGGAAGTCCTGCCTATTAAAATTGGATTAGACTTTTCCTTTTCACCGTACTTACCCTGGTTGGTTATGTGATAGAAAGGACCTTTTTCTTATTGCTCTGTCCATTCCACCCTTTAATATTTCAGCACAAACAATGATTTTACCCTTCCTTGACAAAGGAGCTATCAGTATCCTAAATCACTGGTTTTCTTCATGGATATGATTATTTAACAAGCAATACGAGGTTCATCGAAACAAGAAAAGGCACAATGAGAAAATTATGCAATAGCAATCAACAAGTTTCCCAGAGTTAGATAAAGGTAGGCAGGAAATCAAACCAAAATCCCAACTCCCTAAGTCACTTTCCAAAGACATATCCAATCATATGTTATTCAAATAGTTGATTCATTTTATTGTCGCTTTTCTTTTCAAAATAGCATTTAATGTTGTCTCAAAGCCAACCAAAAAAAAGTACAAAGCCAACTTGAACAACCAAATCTCCGTTTGGAATTATGGGTTCAACCTTGAAACCAATGTCTCTTCTTCCACAAACACTCATCCTTGTCGCCTTTTTCAAGATTATAATCCTACTAAATGCAGAAGCCATTTCAGATTATAGTGCCTTAATATACAAAAACTGCACAAGCCAAACATTTGCAGATACAACCAAGTCTTACTCTGAATCCCTTTCCTCCTTTTTCCAAGAACTCATAACGAAATCCTCCCAAGAAAAGTTCTACAAGACTACTACAGGTGATGACAACACTGGAATTTCAGGCCTCTTTCAATGCAGAGGGGACCTAAGCAACAATGAATGCTACAAATGCATAACCTCGCTTCCTGAAATGTCTAATACTTTGTGTAACGAAGCTGTTTCGGCCCGGATTCAGCTACATGGCTGCTATGTTCACTATGAAGCTGATGTGTTCATGGAGGAAAGTTCCCAATACGAGTTGCTTCACAAGATTTGTGGTGAGAAAAAGGCTGTGGCTCTCGGGTTTGAACAGGTGAGAGATGCAGCATTTGCGGCTGTGGAAAGTGGTGTGAGAGATGGAGATGGATATTGTAAAGAAAATTACGAGTTAATGCAGGTCATTGCACAGTGCGAAGGGGATCTGGGACGTTGTGATTGCGGCAAATGTGTGAGTATTGGAACTCAGATTGCTCAAGAAGAGTGTGGCAGCTCGCTTTCGGGCCAAATTTATTTGGACTACTGCTTTGTTAGCTATGCTTACTACCCAGATGGAATACCAGACAACTTAAACCAAGGTAAACTCACTTCTTATAAATAGTTGATTCAATAAGCCATTTCTGCATTTAACAAATACTGATGGCGATTTTGACAGGAAGAGGAGGTCGAAACAAAACAGGCGAGTTGTTGGCAATTGTATTGGGAGGGGCAGCAGCATTGTTCATTGGCTACATATTCTTGTTGTCTCTCAAGAAATTAGGAAAGAAGGATGATGGTATGTAAAAAAAAAAAATAAAAATGATGGTATGTATAAATCTGGAAAAACTATCCTAGTGATTGCAAGCTTAATTACTTTCACCTCTTTCTTGTTCTCTAATAATTAATTGAGAAGATTAACTGTCATAATCTGGGATTAATTTGCTTGCACATTGCTGAAGAAGGGAAATATGCCTTAAATTTTCCTTGTAGAGGGTTTTTCCTTAGAGTATCCTTCTTTTAGAATCTTTACTTTGAAAATAGATTAACTGTTTGTGCTGGTGGTTAAATTTGGTGAAGGTAGATTGGAATTTTGTTGCAAAAGAAATTTATGTATTAATTATATATATATATATATATATATACACACACACACACACACACACATGAATTCCAATTCTATAAATCTTATTCATTACTTTCATGTATATTTCTAAAGTGAAAACAAATCATAATCTGACTGACTCTTCTTAGCATATAGCCCTTGGGCTTTGAACAAGTTCTTTTTCATGCATTTGTTTGAATTTATTTGGTTATATACACACACACATATATATATATATATATATATATAAAGAATTAACCCATGGGAGAAACCTAGCTAGTGGTCCTAAAATCCATTTCAATGATTAAAGTGAATTTGCATTATAAAAAAATGATAAAATTAAATTATCAATAAAAACGTTTTTTTCCTAGGAATAGATCAACATGAATGGATGCTTAATATGCAAATTTTTATATTGGATGATTGCTTATTTAATTTTCTTTTTTCAGAAATTATACATTGGATCATTTAAATACCTTGTTACTAGCATTTAAAATAAATCTTGTAAGTATAAAATTTTGCAGTGCAAAAAAAAAAAATATTCATGACTTTCTTGATATGGAAACATATATTTCGTACTTAAATTTTGTTATAACTTATGATTTAAAGCATGAAACGATATTCAAGCCTTGTAAGCTTTTAAGAGTCAATTATTATACTTATAATATATTATAAATATAGTTAAAAGTTTTCTTTTAATATAATTCCTGACAAGTCAAAGCTAATCAACTAATTCCTAATTAACAAAGAGGAACAATCTTTATTAAAAAAAAAGTCGCTAAAATTGCTGCAATATTCATTTCAGTTACCGTTAACATTGAGATAATACTACGTAATTGTGTTTGAAGGGGTAAAGGTAGAAGGATTTTAATACTTGAGCATTTGATTCATTAGTTAGTATATGATCTCTTACTTAAAGAACATGGTTCAAATTTCTCGGTTTATTGATTAATTGGTACATAATTTTTTATTTAAAGAGTAAAATTCGAATCTCTTTCACTGTTTTATTTCAATTTTATGTAATTTATTGTTGTGTAAATATATATAATTTTTCTATCTTTCCCATCTTTTCCTTCTATAAACCTCTTTGTAATGTTTTTTGTATATTTTTTTTACCCAAATTCAACAATTCAAGCAAAAATCAGTACCAAACAGACATTCACAACACCAAACAGCCAACGGAGTGATCAAATCAATTAGTAGGACTCACAAAAAATCCAAAATCAAACATACACAACAGTCCTCAAAATCAGCAAGACCCAATCACGGAGCAGGAAACTCAGATCGAAACAAGTCTGACCACCCGAGAGCCAGTCGAGCCTAATAAGAAGCCAGGCATTCGAATAGAGAAAAACTAAAAAAAATCTGCCATGTTGTTTCCAGATCTATCAGTATGTTGAATTTGCCGCTGTTGAAGACAGCAGGTCTCAACCTCCACAGTGCCATATCAAGACAGCAGGTCTACTTTATAACAGTGACAAAGAAGCAAGTTTAAAACGAAATATTAAAATAAGGTTTTTTTTATGGAAATTAAAAAAAATATTTTTTTATTTGAGATGCAAAATTTTTAATTAAAATTTTATAATCAACTTTTCCAATATTTTTTTTCAATGAATAATATAGTCAATCTATTTTATTTTTCTTCATACATTGTTGATTTTAAATAATATTTTATTAATTTTAATTTTGAAAAACTTCCTTCTCTTAATAACAACACTTGCTAGACTTGTTAAAATAATTTTAAAAGCAATTTATGCGTTTGGAAAAGAATCGAGTTTGTTATGATTAAGTATATACATATCAGTTAGATATAAATTCTTTTAAAATTTTTAGCTTTGAAAATAAATCATCAATATCACAATAATTGTTTTAGGTTAATGACTTCAACTTTTTATCGTTACATAGAAAAATAAAAAATACTTTTATATAACTTAAATTATTCAAATTTATTTTCAAGTGAAAAAATTGCTTGATCTTATATATATAAAAAGTTGTAATCAATTCTAAATTATATTTCAAAAGATCTTGTTATTTCATTATCAACATTCTCATCAAATTATTTTTTTTATGAATAATATATATATCACGAAATTTAGATTCACTAGTAAGTGATAAAAAATCAAGATTCATTCAGCACATAATTAGAAAAGTGAAAAAAATATGTTATTTTATTAATTATTTTTGATTTTATATATTTTAAATGAGAAATGAGATAAATAGTTAAAAATTAATAAAAATGTGAAAGTGAGAGAAAATACATATTTATTAGCTAGAAGAGAAAAGGTAAATATTTTATTAATTTTTTAATTTTTAAGGTAAAATATTTTAAAAGTTTTAATCGAAATTATACGAAAATCTATTAATTTTTGAAATAGACACTTTACATTCAAAACTATAAACAATATTAACAAAAATAATGAAAAAATTAAAATATATTTTTTTATTAATTTAAAAAATTATTATTATATTTTAAAAAAATTAAAAAAAAATAAAAAGCACCAATTGACTCTCCCCAGCTCCCCTTGAAAGGGGAGCGCAATCGAGGCTCCCTAAGGGATCATTAGGTTCCCCATGGGGAGCACTAGGTTCTCCTTTAGGAAGCTTGATTTGGAGCACCCTTTGGGGAACCTGATTTGGAGAATCTGACTGTTGTTCCCCTTGGGGAGTTTTTTTCTTTTGATTACTAAAGAAAAAAAATTATATAATTATAATTATAAAAATTAATAAAAATAAAATTATTTTTTTATCTTTATTACGTTAATAAGTTGACAAAAATTATAACAATGGACTCATTGCTAAATCAAAATATCCAACTAAAAGTAATTTTTTGAAGTAAAATGTCTATTTCGAAAATTAATAAATTTCTATATAATTTCAATTAAAATTTATAAAAATTAAAATATTTTATTTTAATTTTTATATATTTTTAATATAATTAATTATATTATAATTTATTATAAAATAATGAGTCCTCTTCAAATCTAGTATCTAAAGTCCTTGGGTGACTTTACCGAAGGTCCGGCGTTGATGTAACCAAATAAGTTTTAGTAAACGAATCTTCTCTTCCCGCTCGGATACATGCGGCTACACTCGTCGCATCTTGGCTTTAACACATAGATTCCCATTCTTTCAACAACAAAAAAAACCTCCTAATTCTCTAAAATTTCAATTTTAATTTCTTTTGTTGGATTTCTTGTTTGCCCTTTCTACTTTGAGTATAAGTCAGTCTGGCTTTTCTTCTATTGTTTTTTGCGTTTTAATTACTAACTCCTTCAAATGTGGTTAGTTAACATGTTCAGTCTAGTTAAAAATACACGGCATGATTACATTAACGGGTCAGTGAAGCATGGGATAAGGAGGAGATTTCCATCTCACATAAATGTAACAAACATTATTTTTAATAAAAATATTATTTATTGTATAAATGAAATTAGACATGACATGCTAATTAGATATAATAAAAGTTGATGATATGGTATTTCTAATAATGCGACATTCCTCGTTAGTAGTCATAACAAGAATTGGAGACAGCTTGGTGTGTCATTTTAATAATTTTTACTATACCTAATACGTTATGTTAATTATATGTATATAAGAAGTGATAATTGTCATTAAAAAGAATGTTTGTTGTATTTTATTATAAAATAAAAATTTAATTGATTAGGATAAAAGAATATGGACAAAATTCGGTACAAATTAAAAACACTTTAAATATAATTTAGGAGTTTTTTTTTGTTATTTGAATATAAAATTCTTGAAAATTGTTCTTCTTATAAAAGAAAAAAAAAACAGAAAAAGTAAAGGTATAAAGAAAACAAATGGTCTCGTTAACACATGATAATTCCCCGAGGTAGAAAACAAAACGTCCTTTTCTATGTTGATTCTGCTTTGAACACCCCACGACATCTTAATGTTCACTTCCTTCTGTTTGAAAAAAAAAAAAAAATCCGATTTTGGAAGGAGGCTCTTTCTCGGAAACCAAGCAGAAAATTTCTGCTCATTTGAGCGTTATTTATGCTTTTCCTGTTTTGGGTTTTTGCTTGTTATGTGAATGTTGTTGTTAACAATGTGATTTAGCCAAAAAATAAAAAACAAGAACGAGAAGATTGTTTATTTCCTTCTCTTGATGTTTTATTCAGGTTGCCATACTTGTTTGCTTAGAAACAGAGGCAAAGAATAGACTTTTTTGTCCTCGTTTTTTTCTTAGAATTTTTGGGGGTGTTATGCTATTTTTTTGTAAATTGACAGGAACTTGATCAAACTTTACTTGACTGAGGGTTTTGGTTTCTTATTTAGTAAGTAACGAACCATCAAAGACATAGAAATATTTTGTTTGCAAGGTTTTGCTCGATTGCAAGAAAAGTGGGAATTAACGATGAAAATTTTCAATATAATGATTGAGTTTATAACTAATCCTACTTTATAGCATCACTGTTAGATTAAAAACTTTTTCATATTCTTTTTTGAGAAAAGTTGAGTGAGTGAACACAGGAAAGAACTGTTTTGGCTCATATGGAAATTGAAACGAAACTGGTTCTTTTTTTTTTTTTTATTTGGATGTTTTCAAATTATTGAAATATTTGGGAATTTGGTGAGGTTTCCATCTGTGTCTCTGTTCTTTACAATTTCACAGTTTGATTGAAATGATTTTCTTCTGAAGCAGATGATAGTAGTGCTTCTTACTGCTTGGAAAGGTTTAATAGATATTGTGCTTTTGGTTTTTGACTGACAATCATTAGGATCCCTTTTCCTTTTATTCTAGGATTTTCCAAGTGCAGTCTCTTTAAGTGCACATTATCACTCTATGATAGCATGTTACTCTAGCTCACATTTGGAAGTGCATATATAGGACCTTTGAACTGCTGTATATAGGTACCAAAGTGAAATTAGGGGATATAGGTGTGTGCCAGAGTTCTACTGGATGTGATGTTCAGTATGGTTCATTGGCAAGCAATGAGAGTAATAGGGAGAAAAATTCAGTTTGTTTTCTTATTGCACAGTTCTTTGTTCCCAAAATAGGGTGTTCGACCTCTTTTAAGCCAAATGGTTCTGCTAGATTTAAGTGCAGTAGGTCGTTGTTTTTCAGGTTGCAAATTATGAGGCACTTATGGATTCCAAATAGTCTAAGTTTGGTTGATAGAAGTGCGTTCATCTCTTGATGTGTGTTAATACAGTATACAGCTGTGTCTACTGATACTATTCTGAGTAACATGGTTCTGTATTAACAAATTAAGTAGATGTCCCTGTGGATATTAATTTCCTTTTCTGGAATTTCTATAGATTTTATGTATCCTTTTGTCCACATTGATAATACTCATGTATCTTTACAGGGTTGGTTTTCCTTTGTTTTCTTTACCTTTTGTATTGCTGTGCCATCGAGATTTCGGAGATAATTCGTTTCCATATCATCTCGTCAAATATCTACTTTTTTTTATTAATATTCATCAGTGAAAGGGGACTTGTGCAACTTGTGTGCATGTCATGATCCTTATCTGTCATGACCATATATTTACTGGATATCCTTTTGCACTTAGTATCACTATTGGATTTTATAACTGCAATAACTAATCTGACAACCTCAACTGCTGCAGGCTACAATATATAAGAGTACGGAGGAGAAGGACGTGGGTGGTTGCTGAGTAGAAAATTAGATTTCCATCAAGTTTAGTCTTTGCTGATGGCTACAAATGAAAGAGTTCGCAGGGCCTTCAATGCAACAAGAGCTTTAGGTATTCCTGATCAAGAGGTGAAACCAGTGCTGAAGCACCTCCTGAGACTGTTTGATAATAACTGGGAACTAATAGAGTCAGAAGACTACCGAGCACTGATAGATGCATATTTTGAGCTCAAGGAAGATAAAGTAATTCGTTGTGTTATTCTTTTTTTTAATGCACTGTTGTATTTCATTCCTTAGCTCTTTATCCTTGGACCAATATTTTACTTTTTTTGTGTCATGTTTATCTTATTCTCTTTGTAGCTTTCATTGCTTTAATCATTGTTATTATCCCTATTTGTCAGTCAGGCAGTGACATGACTGTTGATGATAGTCGCTTGTACGGATCTGTTACTTGTGATAGCCGTTGTTCCAAATTATTTTTAAGAACCTTTGTTTTTCTTCGAGCTTAAGTGGATAGTTAATTTTTCTTTACAGGGAGTACAAGATAAGGAAAATGTTGTTGTGGAGCATGGTGAGTCTAGCAGATTGTCTAAACGATTGCGCTTGCAAGAGCCGGAAGATCAGGCTTCATCTACAAAGGGCAACTCAACCCAAATATTATCTCCTGAAGAGAATCAAAAGCCTATGGTAAACATTCGAGAGGGAGTTACATTTTTGAATAAGAAGGATTCAATTTCTTCTGGGTGTTCAAATTCATGTAACAAAGTTCAGCAGCAGTCTGTTACTTGTGAAAGGAAAAGGCCCTTCCGTATCATCACTGACATAACGAAAGGCACAGAAAATGTGAAAATTTCATTGGTAGATGAAATTGGCAACCAGGACCTTCCAAAGTTTACTTACATGCCTGGTAATGTAATATATCAAGATGCTTATGTGCATATCTCGTTGGCTAGGATTGCAGATGAGCATTGCTGTTCAGGCTGTTCAGGAGACTGTCTTTCATTGCAAATACCATGTGCTTGTGCTCATGAAACTGGTGGAGAGTTTGCTTACACACCAGAAGGTCAACTAAGAGAAGAATTTCTGCAAGCCTGTATGTCTATGAAGCAGGAGCCTCAGGAGCACCACTTTGTCTATTGTCAGGATTGTCCATTAGAGAGGTCTAAAAATGAGCATAAGCCTGAAAAATGCAATGGCCATTTGGTCAGGAAATTCATCAAAGAATGTTGGAGAAAATGTGGATGTGACATCCAGTGTGGAAATCGAGTGGTACAGAGAGGTATTGCATGCAAATTGCAGGTAAAATTCTCTAGGCTCCAGTTACAGTTTGTCTGGTAGCTATTTGCTTCTCCACCAATGGAGTTGATTTGTATATTCCTTTATCTTTTCTATTGCAACTGCTCAAGTGTTACTTTGCAAACTGGCTTCAATTTAACTCTCAGCGCACATTCCCACACTTGCCCTTTAGCTAAGGGAAGTTACCTGCTTTTTAGAGTTGATAACTTCTTTTTTTAAATTTCAATAGCCACAATGGAATGGTAGTGGTTGCTAACATGGACAGTTCTCAAGCAGCTTAGTTTGTTGAAGCTGCCCTTTATATACAATTTAAGGTCATACATCAGCATTAAATTATGGCACCTTTTTTTTTTTGAAATGCAAAGTCTTATTGATGCATTTGTCTCAAAAAGAGACTTGCAGAAGCAGAGTCAATCAAAAGTGCCCCCTTGAGGTGGACAGGCAAACATCAGATAAAAGGAACCTGATGTGCCACAAGCAAAAGAGAAAAGACAAACATTTCGATTCAAGCCTACAGCTAAAAGCTATTCTTGTAAATTATGGCACATTGAGGTTACCAGAGAATGTATTGCTTGATTTCCCTTTTATTACTAGAATATATGTGATTTTAAATGAGATTGTGCAAATATGGTACTATAGGTTTTCTGCTAAATCTGCTTATCATACCATTATTGACTTGGAGTTGCTTCATCTTTTACAAAATGTATGCATGGTCTACCTTTTGTTTTGGGTGATAAGATAGGATTCTGTATTATTGCTTAATGTTTTATTGGCATTGTGTGTGCTTTTATTCTTTAGGTATTCTTGACTGGTGAAGGAAAAGGTTGGGGTGTTAAGACTCTCCAGGACTTGCCTAAAGGAACCTTTGTTTGTGAATATATTGGGGAGATCTTGACCAACACTGAGTTATATGAGCGGAATATGAAAAGCAGTGGCAGAGAGAGACATACATATCCAGTTACACTGGATGCAGACTGGGGCTCAGAGAGAATTCTAAAGGATGAAGAGGCACTTTGTTTGGATGCAACCTTTTGTGGAAATGTTGCTAGGTTTATTAATCATAGGTGATTTTCTTGAGCCCAAATAAATATACATTGTTAAGCATTCGATGGCGATCATGGCCTGGTTTTGTTCCTTCTGGTATGTCAGGTGCCTTGCAACAGGCAAAACCTCTGGTAATAAAATCTTGTAGTATCATAAATGTTAATGAACAGTAAGAGCGCCTAAATATATTAATATCTGTCAATACAAACAATAGACGAAAAGCGAACGGGATTAGTCATTGGAGAAGTATTAAATACCTAAGAAAGCTTCTTTTGTACTGAATAACTGATGAAAAGAACATGTTTATTGCTTTGTGTTAGTATGATCATAGAATTAATCATTTGGAAGGTTTAAATAGTTACTTGAGTTGAAAACATTTAAAAGAAATAGAATTTTGCTCACTTGTATGTTCTGTAGCAATAGCCTCAGAAGTTGCTAAGTGAGAAACATTGCCAAGGACCTTCAAATGTTTTCTTTATTAGATAGCTAGGACATTTTAAATAGATATTGACCTGAAGAACTTAATTATTTACCCTTGACAGTAATTTACACTATTTTGGTTCTGTTGAAACATTTATGGAACATATTTTTATCTGGAAACACCAATGCCTAATGTCATAGTTTCTTGTACTTAAATTTGCTATTTTTTGCAGAATAATCTGTTGATTTTTTTAACTATCTTTCATGATTTATAATAGCCTCTTAATGCCTGGTGCACTAAATCTACCCCTTCCCCTCTACTGTTTATTTTTGTAATTATTTTTTACTTTTCTGGCGTTTTGGTTTATCGATATGATTTTATTCTTAACGTTTCAGATGCTTTGATGCAAACTTGATTGACATTCCAGTTGAAGTAGAGACCCCTGATCGCCATTATTATCATGTATGAATCTAAGTGGCTTTATTGTTAATATTCTCATAAATAACTAACTTTTGTGTTTGGTAGGGGCTGGGTGTGGGGAGTTGAAGCAAAACAGAATGATTGCGGTTTACCTGCATTGGACTGCATTTGAAGAGCTAATTTAGTTATTTATTTGTTTTCATGTGCAGCTTGCTCTTTTTACTGCTAGAGATGTGAGAGCTTCAGAAGAGCTAACATGGGTAAGTAGGTGCTGGCAAACAAGTTATTTATTTATTTTACTTCTTTTCAACTGTTTATTATGTTGCTATTTGCTGCACTCAAAGTTATCTTCTGTTGTTGTGTGATGTTTAATTGCTCGTAAGCATGCAATGCAGAGAGACATTTGCCTGCTTGACATTGAGAGCTCAATAACTCCAGCATTTGATTAGAAGTTATAAACTACATTTATAAATAGAAGAGTTTAATGTAGTAAGCTGGCTAGATTGTTATATCCATAGGCCATTTTCCAAAGAAACACATTTTTATTAATTTGTGCTTGTTATAAGTTTAGAACATTGGTAAAGATATGTTATTTCTCTACTATTATGATAAAGCCATGCTTGACATTGTACTGCAGGACTACGGGATTGACTTTGATGACCATGAGCACCCAATAAAGGCATTCCAATGCCATTGTGGAAGTGCATTTTGTCGAGATGTGAAGCGAAAAAGTCAGTGTATATTCTCCCGTTGCTTCTCGATTGTACCCTTATTTCATTTGTAAGCTCTGTTTATTCAAATGGCAAATGAACTCTTACAAGCTAATGGCTTGGGATATTACATGAAGAGAAGTCATGCCTGGAAAATCCAGACCAGCTCTTGATAAAACCACTTCATTTTTCCTCCTAGCTGAAACATTTTACCATTCCTTTGTGAAATGGAGTTATGTGAAGGCAAATACTATTTCAAAATACAGATGTAGGCATGAAGCTAGGAATGTTTCCTTTTGCTCATACCACTATCTTTAGATCACATAGTTATCTTCAACAGTGAACTGTTGAGGGATGAGGGGAATATGAAAAAGTTTTTGCTGGCCTTCAGTAAAAGTATCATATACATCTATGTGCCAAATGCCAAGGCTACAATGGTAATAGCCAAGAAGAAATCTATATATAATCTTCAGTTTTTGTAAAATAACATACTCTCCTTTGCATTTAATTTGCTTCTGTATTCAACTTGGTCACTTTATTTCATCATCTATCTTCTGAAGCCTAACTACCAATATTCTTGTGCAGGAAAGAGATTGGCAATGCATCGATGAACTGCTGATCGATGGATGAATGAAACAGGACAGTTCTTTTCTTTTATTCTTTTTGCCCTGAGAAAGATTAAAAGTTCAGACTTCATGATTTCAGTGATTAAAGGGATGGAATTCATTCAAAGAGCTCGGCAGTCAACAAAGTATCATACCGTTGCATGGACTTGCTGCCTTCACCTTCACAACAAGTAACAGCTATCATTTTCCAAAAACTGTATAGCTAAATAAGAACTACAGCATAGCAAATAACTGAAATGTTTTTAAGGATGTTTACTGTCAGGGCATTTTTATGGAAACTTGTTGTAAAGCAGGGTTATCCTTGCCTTAATATGAGATAGCTAGGTAACATTTACTTGTGTTGTTAGGGACGCTTTTGTAGATTTTAACTTTGATAATCCATTTATACAAGGTTTCTTTTTAATATTTAGTAATATATATCAAATACTCTTAAAAGCTCATTTGTTTTTATTTTTAGTTTGTCTCCTAATCCTGAGATTAAGAATCAATATTGGTCTATAAACAAGGAAAATTCACAATATACAAATCTTGAACCAAGATATTTAATCAGTTAACATCACAAAGAGTTAAGTCTCTTTGTCCAGAAGATCATACTATCATAGGCTTGCTTAAATTGTGAAGGACTCAAGAAAATGCTTGGGGTCTTGAAATTGCTGGAGGAGGGTATTCAAGTAGTCCTATGGATGAACTCCCAACGTTTAGCAGTTGAACTGTACTTATAAAAAAAAACTCCTTGTTGGAAAAGATTCATGCACTTTGTAACAGCTCTACAGAACTTAGAAGCATCTTATTTGAGTGAGGCAGTAATTAAGGGATAATTAGTTCCTTGAATAGAATATAATGCTTTTCCCTTCATTAAAGTGATCAGCAGTCTATATATTAACATCCATCCCCACCAGACGGATTTATCTTTACGCGAAGCATTCATCTTTACGCGAAGCAAAATAAAATTCAGTGATCATTCTGGGTTTGAATACGGTAACTACTGCTTTTATAAGGAAGAAACTTCATCAGCAGAAGATATTTCACACTTGGTTTGTAAGTCTGGAGAGGCCTGCGGAAACATGGATAGCAAAGCCTTGCTAGAAAACATACAGAGCAAAAGGCAGAGCAACAGAGTGAATTTCCTGCGCCTCAGGTGCATCCATACGAAATTTCTCAAAATTTTGTCTGTAATCACAGTCTATCATAAAGTCAAAACTAACCGTCCTTCGTAATAATAATGAATCTATATTTTTATTCATTCCCTGTCTGTTTTCTTCCTTTGACATTTCAGCCATCAACATTCCTTGAGCTTCTTCTATGGGGTAAACAAGAATCCTGAAAGCCTTTACTGTAATGCTTGCCATCTGGAAGTTTTAAGCCCAGCCTATATCTGTAAAATTTGCAGTTATTACCTATACAAAGCTGGTGCTGAATTACCCCCAGAAATGGAACATCCTCTTCACCTAAAGCATCCTCTCGCCCTCTTTATTAAGTTTCAACGTAAAAGTGGGCTCTTTATGTGTGATGAATGCGGGGACTTTTCCACTGCCTTTGTTTTCCTTTGTCTTGTTTGCAACTTCAAGCCTGACATGAAATGTGCTACTGCTCTAATTGCTCCAAGAAATGAAGACCAAAGAGTAGTAAAAGACATGGAGAAAAAAAAATCCAAATTACTCTATTTCAACGACGACCACAAGATGGTCCTTGGCAATTGTGGGAATACCTTTAAGGAATTTAGATGCAATGGTTGCTGCCTATCAATCGCAGGTCCGGCCTATAGTTGCCTTGATTGTGATTTTATTCTGCATGAATCTTGTTTTGGATTACCAAAAAAGATACAATGTCCATTTCATCCGTTACACTCATTGGAAGCATCACAAAGCGGAGATTTCCCCGTTCAATGCCATCTTTGTCGAAATGACATTGGCTATAGTTGTAAGTTTCATTCTGACTTGTACTTCCATTATCAATGCGCTAAATCCGTAAGAAGGCTCTTAAAATCGAGTTCCTACGAGCATGATCTTTACTATTTTGGGAAAGATGGCATCCGCTGGATGTCTAGGGGGTGGTCTCATTGCAAAACGTTGTATCGAAAGTCTTTCATCATTTCCCTTCTTTCGGTTGTTTGCAGTGTGATACTAAGTTTCATTTGAAATGTGTTCCAGTACCACAAATTGCTAAATTTAAACATCATATTCATCATTTCTTTTTTAAAGATTCATTTGTAAAATATGATTCAGGAAAACATTATTGTGACATATGTGAAAAAGAAAGAAATAGTAAAGATCACGTCTACTGCTGCGAGAAATGCTGTGGCTTATTTATTGCTCATATTGAATCTGTGCTTTAGAAGGTGAGTCCAAAATATATCCATAAGCTTCCAAAAATAATCTTCTTGTTCAGTGATTTTGTCCTGCTTTACAACATGTAGTCTCTTGCTGTCTACTCTATCTATCATTGTATTTTGTGGGCTTTACTCTGTTGGTGTACTTTTCTACGTAACGTCTTCACTTTGCTGTTTAATTATATGCATTTTACAGAATGTTTGGAAGCTATTCATAGAAAAATGAATTAATCTAACCATTAGTACATATGGCTTTTTTAGTTGTAGAAGTCGGCATATAGCAGTCCTATGCTTAACCATCATAAACTGACCATCTTTTTTTTTTTTGCTTTTGAAACGCAGGAATTTTAGTGCTCTGGGAGTCTCTGTAAGGGAGACAAGCTTACAGGGTGCAGAGTCAGTGAAGGCTTGCATGAGGACAAAAGTTTCAAAGTGACAGAAGCATAGAGGGACCAGAACATAGGTCCTCTCACGAAACAAAAGAACAACATTCCATAGCCTTATTATTACAAGATGTCTTAAATGCAATCAAAGGAATAGATTGGCATACTGGAGGGGTACGAAATAACAGAATAACGAGGGAGAAGTTCAGTGAAGGTCTTCCCTGTTGTGGTTTTAGAACTAGCTTTGAAGTTGGAGACCCTCTAGACTCCAGCCTTATAGCTAATCCGTCAGCTATTGTGTTGGCTTCCCACACAACGTGATTGAAAGAAATCCTTGCATGGTTGCGCAGGCAAACCTCAATGGCATTAGACAGGTTCTTCATTGGTTTGAAAGATTCCTATTTTGTGTAAGTGATGCTATTAATCTATGTTATTGTGATAAAAATTTAGATCATAGTAGTAAAAATTAACAAAAAAAAAACAACGATAGCATCAATCTCTAATTTTCTAGAACATTCTATTTATAAGTTACTTACTTGTTATAAAATTCAAATGTTGTCATTTAAAGTAAAATCTTTAAAAAGTTTATATGAATCAATGCATATTTTCTTGAAACACAAGATTGAAAATATAAAGAAAAAAAAAAAGAGAGAATGGCCCCAACACGTGTGTTAGTGCCATTGTATTTGAGGTTTTATTCATCCTCATCATTGGTGTGCACAAAAGTTACAGATCATAAACTCTTAGATAATAAAACTCAGTGTTACTCAAAAAAAAAAAAAAAACTTTGGTGATTAATTGCATCATGGATTGATGCAATCAATCCACTAGGTACTTATTGACCTATGACAAAATTATCAAATTGTTATATAGTTTTGCTACATCGAAACAATATGTAAGCAACTCTAAGAAGTATTTGGAGAAGGATGAGTGGTTGATTCAAATTATTTCTATATATTTTAAGAAAATCAAAGTCTTATTTAAACAAAGATTTGTCTAAATGTATGAATACAACTTCTTGAATAAATATAATTATTTAATAAACATAACTATTTCAACAATCATATCTGATCAAATTTCATAAGGGCTTTTTTAAGTCTTAAGTGGATTATCTTTACCTATTTTGGCTTGGATTTACATTGCTTTGATAAGTGGGTTCAATCTTTTTTTTAAATTTTATTTGTTTGCAATTGAGATGAGATACATTCAAATATAAAATTTTATTCAAACTGTAATTCCTTAACCTAAATGACCATTGCACTAGTGTATTTATAAGATTTCAAAGTGTGACAAATAGATTCTTTTTTGATTTACTTTATAAATAATTGGATCTATATTAAAAAATATTTCTTTATGTTAAGGGTTTAGAGAATCAATTAGGGGTAGTTTAGATAGTTTATTTAACACTTAGCAACCATTTTTATTTTTGATGGGAAAACCCTACAGAAAGGGTGAAAATTAAGAAAAATTTCCTTCAATTGAAAGATTAAGGTAAGATACTTTAATTTTGTGAAATTTTTGTATTTTGCATAGTTTCACATAAAAACTCTATGAAATTCAATTGGGCTCTGGCAAAGGGGTGGCCTGACCGATCTAGTGTGATAAATATTGTTGAAGAGATCCGACAGGGGAGAATGGGCCAAGGGGTTCTCTATTTTCAATGATATGAAGTTTCTTTTATTGATAAAAATGGTTATCTTTGTTTATTATATTTTTAAATATTTTTATCATAAATATTATTAAGATTTACCTAATTTGTAAATACATAATGATTGTAATTATATTAAATAATTTTTATTATAAATATTAATAATAAGATTTATCCAATTTGTAAATAAAAATTTTATTGAATGAATTTTATTAAAAATATATATTTTTTAATTCGAATAATATTGAATAAATTATTTATTAATATTATAAAATTTTCATTATATGTAATTGAAAAATTAATTCTCTTTTACATAGTTATCTTTTTTCTTATAGAGAATTGCTCATTCCTTTTTATGAACGAAATGCTTAATTTTCAAAAAAAAAAAAGTTATCTTTTCATTATAATTTTCTTTTATTTATAAAAAAAATTAACTTTACGTTTTGAAACATTTAAAATTTTTATATAACTATTATTAAAAAATAAATAAAAAACAAATATTTTTATGCAATGCAGATAATCATAAATACAAACGCATCCTAAAAGAAGTAAAAAGCTAAGATTAAGCTCTCTAACTTTCTTTTACTAGTTAATTGGCCGACAGCAAAACAATAAAGGCGAAGATAATTGCAACTGGTATTGACAGTGGGTCCCTCACGAAGCCCTCTATTATTTGGGATCAAAACAATGGCCAAAGTTCCAACAGAACCAAGGATTTTATCATTTTGTTTTTATGTAAGTCCTTCTGTCATATAAAATCTGGCTGATATCAGTTTTAAACTGTGTAATTAATGGTAGAATCCCTGGTAAAAGTTTGTAAACAAGGAATTTAGATAGAAGTTTTTGACTTCATCTGTTTGACATCAAGGGGTGAACATTCATTTGCTCATTTATATAGCTACTGGGGACAATCATTTTTGGCTTTATAGTCATCCTCTGGCCTCTTATCTTTCACTTTTAAGGACTTCTCTCTGATTCTTTCCAATGGTGACCGAACCTTTCCTTCATAAACACTTCCTCTGCTATGATTTTTACAAAAAACAAGAGGCATGTTGTTATAAATGCAGTCAGCAAATTGATGGTCGGGCCTATTCTTGTGAAAACTGCAAGTTTTGGTTGCACAAATCATGTGCGGAACAAGAGCTGCCTCCTCAGCTTTCACACCCTCTCCACCCCCAACACCATCTGACTCTATTCTGTGATGATTCTGAGAAATTCGTTTGTGATCAATGTTTCTACATTTCTGGAGGCTATAGTTACAGTTGCAAAGGTTGCTCCTTCAATCTTGATTTAAACTGTGCTTCTTCAAGTAAAGGTCAGCTCCACCAGGAAGATTATGGCCAGAGATCTAAAATTGGGCAGAGAAAAAGAATTCACCATTTCAGCCATGAGCATCCTCTAGACCTTTTCAACTATAGGAAGATTGGGAAAATTGAGATCAGTTGCTCTTGGTGTGAAAAGACTCTATCTGCAGGTTCAGGTATGTCATGGGGTTGTCTTGAACTGTGCAAGAATGCTACCTTTTTCCACCAATCTTGTTTTAGGAAGATACCCAAAAGAGTGCAGCACCCTTTCCATCCATCACACTCACTTGGCTTGCAATATAAGAATTATTCTTCCACTTGCAATGCTTGTAAAGGTGAACTCGAGGATTATCCTTGTCAAAACTATTATTGCAACAAGTGCAACTTCTGGCTTCATGTTTTTTGCATTAGACTCCTACCTACTCTGAAACATAACTGCCATGAGCATGACCTTACATATTTTATAGTGACAAATAAGGAAGATTTCAAGTGTAATCTCTGTGATGGGAATTGCAATGCCGCAGCCGAATGGAGTATTCTGAACCCCTTTAGTTGGTTTTATGGGAAAAGTGATTGTGCTTTCTACCGCTGTGTGCAATGTGATTTGAACTTCCATCTCAATTGTATTCCAATACCAAGAACCACTAAACATCGATATCATAGACATTCTCTTATCCTTAAGGATTCATTTAAAGAAGATGATTCTGGAGAGTATTACTGTGATATCTGCGAAGAAGAAAGAAATTCAGAAAATCATGTATATTGTTGTGAAAAATGCACATATATTGCTCATATTGAATGTGCTATAAATGAGGTAAGGCCAAGTACTTTATTCTCTTTCAACATATGTTTTGCTATTAGGGGAGAGTCGTGTAACCAGCCCTTTTTTAAATGTTTGCCTCAGGGAAATTCAAAAGAACTGTTGCCCCGGAGGCATCAGTTTATAGATATGAAACTTGATCTTGGGAACACCTCTGGCATGGCTGTGGAACAGGAAGAGATGGAACAAGTTGAAACTAGGCAAAGCCATATAGAATATCCTGCCCTTTCTGAGCCAGCTGAAACAAATGGTAGCATCCATAATGGCCAATTTAAGGTGCAACCATCATTCACAATTTTTTATAGCTATTGAAGCAATTTGATTCTCAACATAAATTTCATGATAAGTTTGTTCATTCGCTGTTTCTTTTTCTTCCTTTCAGAGGCAAATTCAACATTTCAGCCACCATCATCCTCTAAGCTTTCTCGAGATAATTGAAAAGCATGAAATTCCTTGCTGTGATGCTTGCAAGATGGGAATTCTAGGTCCAGCCTATGTTTGTGAGTCTGACGAATATTACCTGCACCAAACATGTGCTGAATTGTTCCAGGACGTGCAACACCCTCTTCACTCCCAGCATCCTCTCAAGCTTCTTACTACATGTCCTACTGATCAGGGGAGATTTATATGTGATGAATGTGGAGACATTTCAAAAGGCTTTGTTTACTTCTGTTGGGAGTGTGAATTCAAGCTTGACCTAAAATGTGCTGCTCTGACTACCTCTCAAAATGAGGGCCAACGGCTAAAACAGACAAAAGGATACTCCAAGAAGTCTCATTTCAGCCATGAGCATATGCTAGTCTTTACAAATTGCAGGCCATACTTTAAAAAGTTCCATTGCAATGGCTGCAACCTACCTATCGTAGGTGCAGCCTATTGCTGCCTTGCTTGTTCTTATATTCTTCATGAATCTTGTCTTGCATTACCACAGCAGATGAAATTTCAATTTCATCCGGAACACCCTTTGGTTGCCAAATTAACCCAGTTCTTTGAGATTTTTAATCGTTGTCATGCCTGTGGAACAGGATTCAGGTGGACTAACATTAGGTATAGTTGCTCTGAGTGTTCCCTAGACCTCCATTTTTCATGTGCTAATTCCCTGAAGTGGCCCCTAAAACACAAGTCCCACATACATAATCTTTACTATTTTGGGACAGAAAGTCAGAAGCTCTTTGAAAATGAGAACATTAGCTTTTCATGTAATACATGTAGCAAAACCTGTGTAGGGCCTTCCTACCGTTGTTTGGAGTGTGCTATCAATTTTCATTTGGAATGTATACCAATACCTCAACGTGTTAAATCTGATTGTCATATCCATCCCTTCACTCTTGTCGATTCGTTTGTAGAAGATGATTCAGGAGAATATTATTGTGATGTTTGTGAAGAAGAAAAGCATTCGAAGGATCATATATATTTCTGTGAAGAATGTAATGGATTGTTTGTTGCTCACATAGAATGCGCACTTGCTAAGGTAAATGTACATCTATTATCTCCTACCTAGAATTTGACTGTGCTCTTTGTTCAAGGACAATAGATATGTAAATGGTTTTTGTTGCCTGTTTAAGCTAATTCTGAAATTTGTGTTGACAGTTTTTGGATCAATTACTAATTTATTTCCCTCTAGAAATAGTTCAATAAATGAGCAAATAAGTTGAGAAAATTTGATTTTAAATTACTAAAACTTTGCAATTCCATTGATTATTTTAGAAAACCTAACAGCATTTTTTGCTTTGTAAGGTGGAGGAAGCTGCACGAGAAATAGAGGCCTGTTCAACTAAGGAGCCAGACCTGAAGAAGACCTCTATCCAGGTAGAGAGCAAGACATCCCCAGGGAGAGCAACAGAGGAAATGGAATCAAGAGAAGAACATAGTTAGACAGGGCTGGATAAATCTTAAGTCTATCTTCCATGGAGGAACTATCAACACTGAAGAAAAAAGATTGCATAATTTCAAGCTAATATAAATGATCATTTTCCATCTGATTTTAGTTCATACCTTAATCAAACAACATAGTTACCCTTTCCTTCTCTCTATTTAAGAAATCCAAAGGGATCCTTATCCTCTCCTCCCACCTCTCTTTCTCTATTTCAATTTCTTTTTCTTGCTTTCCTCCACACATACGTAGTGAACAAACCTAGGGTAAGAGAGAAGTCAATTTTTCTCTTTATCCTTTAATCTAGGCAAGCGGGACATGTTTTGATCATCAAGGCCTCCAAACACAGATCACTGAATTGTTTAACGTTTCTAAAAAGATTGGCAAAATCATTAAAGCAGTGTTAATGATTGAATAACTTTATGCTTTATTAGGCAAAACCAATGATGTTTCTTGATTACTGAACGAATTGAGGATAATGTATGATACTCTAAAGTCTAAACATTTCCTTCCTTTATTCATTCTTCTTTTCCTTTCTTTAATTAATTAACATACTTTCTTGAGGAGCCAGGTATTTAGTTACCTTCATTTTCTCACAATGGTTAACGTAACATGCTTTAATTATGGAAAAAGCAAAGCAGAACCGATATATTAATCTAACATTGTTGGCTTTGCATATGTTTTATCTATAACATATGGCAATGGGAAGCAAATATATACCTGTCTTGTTTCAATCCTTAAAGAAATTGTGTTGTTCCTTTTTAATACATAATAATATGAGAAGTAAGACAGTCAAGATTCGAATTTTGGATCTCAATCTTTTTAAAAAGAGCCAATTCGAAGTTGTTAAGAATTTGTTGTATATGTAATATTACTTTACAAAGTCATGAATTAACTACAACCGTTGCAATTGAATCCTCAGGAGAGAACGTGGGAATTGAAAGAAATACATAGAAAATCATCAAAAGAGGATGAACTCCCTCTGAATTGGAGGAATTACACGGAAGACCTTCAAAAAGCCATAAGCTTGAGGAGCTCACATGGTAAATAAGTGAGAGGCTCGTGCTTAGAAAAAAAAAAAAAATAGGAGACACAATGTACGTGAGAATTGTTAAATTTTTAGAACGAAAATTTAACCTAATATCAATTGATAATAATCAATGAGACCCTTATTATATTTATATGCTTAGAATATCCATGACTTGATTAATGAAAAATTTTTTATTTCATAATTTCAATACTCACCTTCATGTATAGAGACAAAAAACTTATCATGTGACATGAACTTTACATGTAAAAATAATGTGTTTATCATGCAACATACACTTCGCAGTAGAAATTTATCGTGATATAATAAACGGATGATATATGTTGCTTTCTTAGTTCTAAAGTTGATGAGATGCATACCAATTTTAGGATTTGTTTGGGGGAGATGGACGTAATTATTTTTTTATTTTATTTAGAGAAAATAAATTTAAAGCCAAATGAAACTAACCTCATGTCTCCATACATGTTGCCTTAATCATGAATGTGGACCTAAGTTTACTACCATATATAATGTATTATTGATGATTAAATGCAAGCAATAGTTTGGACATCCATATCGTAATTTGCCATCTAACGAAACGAAGAACTTGTTTCGTCCTTTTATGTATTTCTAATCCTTCCAATATATATGTATTTTTCTTTATATTTATTTATTTTTAATATTTTTCTACATATTATTATTTTCCATTATAAAAAACTTGACATTAAAATGTGTTTTATGATTGATATGATAATTGTACGAGTATTAAACATTTACTTAAATAAAAGTTCAAAAATTCAATTTTGAGAGTTATATATATATTTATATATGTATATTTAAATGTACACTTTTAAAGTAAAGCATTAATTTTAAATTGTTGATAATTTATGAATTGGGTTAAATTATAGTCTTAGAGCTAATGATTGTTTCAAAATCATAGAACTAGACTTTAATATCAATTATTTTTTTATCATATATAGAACTAATATGGAAGCCAATAATATAAATTAAAAGAAAGAAGGAATTGAAGTTGATAATATTTATTAATTAACTTCAAATTTTTAATATTTAAAAAACTAAATAAAAATATAAATAATTTTACTTGGTGACTCACCCAA